GGCATTGCTGGATTTGCCACAAAGGTTATTATGCCATTGCGAGTGGGGAGTTGTGGTGTGAGTTACCTTAAAAGAGTTCAGGGGTCCCTGCTGTCCGCGTTTCGTCTGCTCCTTGTCCCAGTCCCTGGGACTCTTGTGGCTTCCCTTTTGCTAATCCACATTCAGATAAATCTGAGGAAAACTTCCCCAGTGCTCTGTATACATCTCAGCCTTAGTCTTGATACTCCTTTCCTTTTGAGAGGGCAGTGGGGGGAATCCTTGTGTCATGGAGGAGGCAGGGAACCTGAGACCTGGTCTTTTGAGTCAATCCTCCTCCTTCCCTGGAAACTCCTTTGGGTTAGTTCAGTGCTCATCCAGGCATCTTAAGGAAGTGATAGCCGCGGGTGGGAAGCTGTATTACTTGGCTTCTCTTCTTCCTAGATGGGGTGATAAAACCAAAACAATCTGGTATTCTTATGTGTCTTGGTGCATAGGAATTGTTTTAAGCGATGTAGGTCTTAATGTGACTCTAGTTATTAATATTTGTAGGTGGTGGCCAATTGAACTGAATTTGGTGAGAGGTGAAGCACTTGCTTTAAAAGGTCATTTGGGTTTTGAGAAAGTTTAGTAGTAGGGAAGATGATGATTTAAACTTGATGGTATAAAATAGTTTTTCAACTGCTTAATCCGTTGTGGCTAACTCAAAGCATAGTGCATGTCGTGTTAGTACACGTGAACTATTATAGACTCTTGCGTCTCTGGTGTCCATAACAGTCCCCTGATGCTACTAAAAAGAACAAAATTATAGAATTAAACAATTGAAAAATATTTTCTTGGACAGCTTTTATTTAGTGCATTTAAAAAAAAAAAGCAAACACACACCTCTTTAGAACAACTCAAATATTTGACCTGATTATTTTGACTGAAAGTTAGACTTTAAATCTATTGTATTTTTAACTATAGGACACACAGTAATTGTGCTGTGCTCCGAGTTACAGAACATTTAAAAATTGGGTGCAAGTGAAATGGAAATGTAAGCAGACAACTGTAGCAGAAGGAATTGGGTACAATATAATTTTACTCCAGCTGGACTGCCTTACATGCCTGAACTTGTTCGCAGACAGTTTCTGTGGCTTAATCCCCCTTTACTTTAATGCAGACAATTATAGATTGGTGACAGAGTTTATACGGAGGAATTAGCAGTTACAGAATCTTTTGCGTACTGGCAGCTCTTGATGACTTTCTGTGGGGAAGAGCTCTTGCCCGTTTTCAACGGCAGCAAGTCGAGAGCAGCTCCTGCTGTGACATTCTCAAAATATTTTACCCCATGCTTAAAGCTCCTGACCACCTGCTTTAGGAGGGTTCAGCTGCTGGGGGTGGCTGTGCGGACTCATGCTTATAGCAGCATCGTAATATTGATTCTGTCTTTGGGGCCGCTTGCTGTTGTTTGGCAAGGTGCAGCGCTCAGCCAAGCGCAGGCACCGCGATGATGGTTAAACTGCCGACGTGTGTGTTTGTATGTACATAAAAGCCTGCCAAAGGAAAGTGATTTCCTTTGGTGGTTTGGGGTGCACTGAAAATGGTGTGCCGCTTCTGTGGCCTCTCAGTTTCTTTCCTTGCGCTGCCCCTGCAGAGAGCACAGCATTGCTTCTAGTCACCGCAGGTTTCTGTCGTCTTCCTCAAACATCCCGCTTGTATTTGGAACTGGCTGTTTTCAGCAAAGACAATTAAATGTTTTTCTGTGGCTTCATGTGAGAAAATACATAAGCTTCCAATTAGCCAGCTCCCCCGCACCCCCTTCAGCTGCGTAAGTTCAGCTTCAAGCTTTTGACTTCCCTCAGTGGTCCTTTCGGATCATCTCGCGTCTTCTCAGGTAGTGTCCCGACCTCATGGTTTAGCGTAAGAGAGGTCAGGAATGAAGATAACTGAAACACAGATTTTGCTTTCTGAAACTATGTCTGTTGAAAGCTGTTCACTGATTAAAATTCCAGTCCTTCAAAACATCTTGAGACTTTCCACTTAATTGCCATGTGTCATCTCTATTGAAAATGTTTGAATTGAAAACTCCAGGTAAAAGTGCTTCCCTGTGGCGTAATGAGTGCATCTCTTCCCCCCGACCTGCTTCAGCTTTCTCTGAGGCTTTGAGTGAGGCGGCTCCCACTTCAGGAGCAGCAGGGTAGCTCTGGGAGATGTCCTGGCCCAGGGCGTTATCAATCCAGT